CTGCATAACTCACCCAGCATTGGTGAATAGCTGTCAGAGCCCCCCTGTAGAGCGGCTCGTTGCTCTGGGATGAGAAACGTTAGGTTCACGACTGCAGTTCCATCCGCCGGAGACGACCGGGACAAACCTTCCCGTGCCCGTGCCCGTGTTCTCAAGACCTCCTCATATTCCATAGACCTTACATCTGCCTCCTTTGCTTTACCACAGGCTCGAACGTGGTTGTTGTACCCCCTCGATGATAGCTCGCGATCGCAGTGGGGGCATCGTCTCGTTTTCCCGGCGTTATAGACTTTCGCCGGGTCCATAGGTCCAACGCGCAGAGCACGCCACAGGTCTCAAGGCAAAACCCAAGACGAAGGGCAACTCCGGGGGCAATAGTGATTTCTAGCTGACGAAGGGGGGCACAGGTCGGGAACAGGGTAGCCAGAGTGCGACGAGAACGTCGACAAACTATGAAAGCTATTGCAATCCGATTCGAATCTCATTCTAATCCGACGATAATCGTAGCATGTAATTCATATCTGGATATAATTGGAATTTGATTCATATAAAAATAGCAGCTGGGTCCGGACCAATTATAATGCAGGAAGGAAATCTCCGACATTATTCATTTCCGCGTGCTGAGCGATGAAAGGAGATCCAGGTGACAGTACCGTCCCCAGCCATAAGAGGATGAGACTTGGAGGGGGTTTTTGACAGACTGAGGAGGAGGCGTCCGACTTCGACGTCATCGTGTTACTCGAGCGCGCTGATTGGCGCCAGCTCCTGACTCGCGTGGCGTCCACGCGCAGGCCGGCGGCACCGATATCGAGTAGCACCGTAAACGCACTGCGAAAAGTTTCAAGTCCGCCCTCCAAACAGCCTCCCCTCCCCTCCGCCCCCAACGCCCCCTCCCACTGGCACGCCGCGATGGCCGACAAAATCACGCGTATCGCCATCGTCGACTCCAACCGCTGCAAACCGAAGCGATGTGCGCAGGAGTGCAAGAAGGTGCGTGTCTGCGAGCTGCTTGTGATCTTTTGATCTGATCTATGGAGGCAGTCGTGTCCGGTCGTGAAGATGGGTTAGTGGGTTCGCTCTGTGCTGTCGCTGTATCGGGGTTCTGAAGCGTGCTCCAGGGAAGCTCTGTATCGAAGTCAAGCCGACCGACAAAATCGCGTTCATCTCCGAATTTCTGTGTATTGGATGCGGTATATGTGTAAAGAAGTGCGTACACCACCCAATCCCCCTCTCTTCAATGTTAATAAATTCCGCCTGATCACACCAGATGCCCCTTTGAAGCGATTGCCATCATCAACCTCCCGACCAACCTCGAGTCCCAAGTCACACATCGATACACCGCCAACTCCTTCAAGCTCCATCGGCTGCCCACACCACGGCCGGGGCAGGTCCTCGGGCTCGTCGGGACGAACGGTATCGGGAAGAGCACGGCGCTCAAAATTCTCGCGGGGAAACTCAAGCCCAATCTCGGGCGATACGATGTGCGCCTGTCATCTACTACCTAACCCGCTGAAACATACCAACCACGACGTTAGGACCCACCAGACTGGCAGGAAATCCTCAAGTACTTCCGCGGCTCCGAGCTGCAGAACTACTTCACGAAGGTGCTCGAGGACAACCTGAAGGCGCTCATCAAGCCGCAGTACGTCGACCACATCCCGCGCGCGATCAAGGGTGCGATGAGCGTCAGCCAGATGCTTGACAATAAGAAGGAGCTGGATAACAAGCAGAAGCTCCTCGACGACCTCGAGCTGAACGAGGTGCTCGAGCGCGAGGTCACGCAGCTCTCGGGCGGAGAGCTGCAGCGCTTTGCGATTGCGATGACGTGCATACAGCGGGCGGACGTGTGAGTGCTATGCTACGGGATTCCTATTGGGTGAATGGGCTGATGGCGGGCGTGGCTAGGTACATGTTCGACGAGCCGTCGAGTTATCTGGACATCAAGCAGCGGCTGAAGGCGGCGGAGGTGATTCGGTCGCTGCTCAAGTCGGACAACTACGTGATTGCCGTCGAGCACGATCTGTCGGTGCTGGATTACCTGTCCGATTTCATCTGCTGTCTGTACGGCAAGCCGTCGATGTACGGCGTCGTGACCATGCCGTACTCTGTGCGAGAAGGTCAGTCGGAGCGTGCGCGCCCTTCGTTCCCTCGCGGAACTGACACGCCCCGCAGGCATCAACATCTTCTTGGACGGCTTCATCCCGACAGAAAACCTGCGTTTCCGCGAAGAATCGCTCTCCTTCAAGATGGTCGAGACCGCCGAAGAGATCCTGATCGACAAGTCCCGCCAGTACTCGTACCCCTCCATGACGAAGACGCTCGGCGGGTTCAAGCTGACCGTCGAGGGCGGCTCGTTCACGGACAGCGAGATCATCGTGATGCTCGGCGAGAACGGGACCGGCAAGACGACGTTCATCCGCCTGCTCTGGGGCGACGCCCCGGACGTCGAGGTCGACCGGCAGACGTTCAGCGTGAGCCTCAAGCCGCAGACGATCTCGCCGAAGTTCCCCGGGAGCGTGCGGATGCTGCTGCTGAAGCAGATAAAGCAGGCGTTCATGCACCCGCAGTTCCAGACGGATGTGGTGAAGCCGATGAATTTGGAGAATATTCTGGACCAGGAGGTGAAGACGCTCTCGGGGGGTGAGCTCCAGCGCGTCGCGATCGTGCTCGCGCTCGGCAAGCCGGCGAACGTGTACCTGCTCGACGAGCCTAGCAGGTGCGAATACAAATTTCGACGCATGTCAGGGCGATAATGCGCTAACTTGTGTTCGTGCAGTTTCTTGGACTCGGAGCAGCGGATTATCGCGAGCAAGGTGATCAAGCGGTTCATCCTTCACGCGAAGAAGACGGCGTTCGTGATCGAGCACGACTTCATCATGGCGACGTACCTCGCGGACCGCGTCATCGTGTTCGAGGGCAGGCCCGCCGTCGCGGCCACCGCTACGCCGTAAGCCATGCTGCCGTGCGATTCTAATGTTACATCGGGGCCGCTAACCATGTTTCCGTGGTGCAGACCGCAGTCGTTGCTGTCGGGGATGAACAAGTTCCTCGCGTCGCTGCAGATCACGTTCCGCCGCGACCCGACGAACTTCCGGCCGCGCGTGAATAAGCTGGAGAGTGTCAAGGACCGGGAGCAGAAGGGTGCGTTTCTTGTCTTTCTTCCTCATCCTTCCTCGTTTGCTTGACCCGCTTACCTGTCTTCTATTTATTATCTAGCTTCGGGCAATTACTTCTTCCTCGAGGAGTAATCGGTGTTGTAGGAGTTGGATTATGTATTAGAAGAGAAGAGTCAGGGTCGGAGAGGGGGCCCGGGAAGGGTGTAGGATAGAGATGACAATGACAATGCTGTAGCCTAGTAGGATTTGCCTTAAAGGACTAGGGCATAGTGAAATGTAGCATCCCTCGGTGGGAGGATTGGTTCTTGTGGCGCGCGGTCCGATCGCATTGTGGCACGTGTGACGGGTAACGCGAGACACGTAAAGTCACAGTGGCGTGTCGTAAATGCGTCTAGCCATCGATCTGTGTACAACCAGCTTACTTTCCCCTTTCTCTCTCGCTTTTGTCTCGATTCGCTATGGCGGAGCACACCTCGACGCGTGTCAACTCTGCAAAGATGCCCCAGTTCGTGGGGCGTACGGTACGGCTGGTGTGTAAAGTCCTGCAGGTGCGCACTTCTTTCTATCATATCCTGCCATGGTGTATTGCGGTTTACTCCGTGGACCTGGATCGGCAGTTCAAGGGGGACACTGCGCTGGTAGAAGCGTCTGATGGCGGGCAGGTGGAGGTGCGATTACCGAAAGTAAGTGGACGACGGGCTGGTTGTGGGACTGTCTGTCTGTCTGTTGGCTTACTGCGGGATGAAGGACGCGAACGTGACGGATACGTATGTGGAGATCATCGGGAAGGTGATCGATGCGAGCACCTTGCAGATGATGGCCTGCGTGCTCATGGGGGATTCAGTGGGTACGTGCCCTTTGCTCTTCCTTCGTTCCAAGCTTATGTCTGCTGTTGGTAGATATGAAGCTGATTGACGACGTGGTCAATATGATACATGACCCACGGTTTATGGGGAGTATGTTCTAGCTTCAAGTTGCTGGTTTTGTCGGTCAGGTGTTTTGCTTGTTCCTCGCTGTGCTCATTGCTTTGTAATGTTCAAGTACGTTGCTCTTGTATTGCATACCAAAATACCATGCTCTGGGTGGTCAATTCCGCAATCAGCCAGTAATGTGTTCTTCAGGGCTGATAGTATCCGTGATTGCAGGAGCCAGATTTTCCACTGCCCAGTGGCAGGAACTCTGAGATATTGATTATAGGTCCCTCTGGCTCTCTGCCATACTTGTCATGGAACCAATCAAGCACTAGTGGCAAGACAACATTCTATGTGCAGCAGAAGAATGAACCCAGTACAAAGAATGCCACGGTGGCTCCTCGGCAGCATTCGTAGCTGAATATGTTACATCCCTGTGTACACAAAGCATCCTCGGCCGCATTGACAATGTCACAACTTGAAGATCTGAGGCATTCCCAGAATTTAAACCCCAGGCCCATCGACCGCACGAACCATGCTTTGTGCAACTCCTTTCTCCTTTGCCTCTTCCAGCGACGGTGACCGCGTACTACCGTGGCCCAGCTTTTCTGGGGACCCAGGTCCGTAATATCGGCGATGCTAGGGCACTTGTGAGTGAGGGGTGAACTCGAGAAAGAATAGGACCTACCCAGAAGGCCATGTACCAAAGCCATGACAGGCCGCAGATGCCACCCATTATAGGCCCAGCGTAGTTCATGGTAGCCGGCGTAACAGGATACACTTGTGGCATGATGAGGATGCTATCCAACTATGAATCAGAACTACAGAGGTCAGACTGTGGATTCCCAACTCACCCTGTCTCGAGTAATGTCCTGGTACGGTTTATTAGGTGAGGCGAAACTCTTCCAGAGTGTACAACACATACCACACTACCGCATAAACATTAACGGCATAGCCCCATTTGCCAAGATAGAATGGCCCTGGTGTGAATTCCGTGTCTGTGTCGAAGAGCCGAATGTACAGCTTTGCGACGATAGGGATCTGTAAGAGCAATTCGTTAACTTCACGTAGTATAATTCAAGTTACATACAGCATAGGAGAGGTCAAGGGCTACTGCAGTGATACTGGAGATGGTTGTGTAAGCTGTGGTGCGACCATGGGAGCAGAGAACAGGTCTACCTAAAGACTGCGTTGATCTTGGCCAGGGTTAGTGTAAGAATATCACCACATGGACGAAGACTCACCGCTACAAGGGACGCTAGAGATAGCAGGCCAAAGAGACACTCCACTACTACGGTGCAGATGACGGCGTTCACCGGTGTCGCCGTCACTCGCCATACCTTTGCGAACAGACGTCCATCGGGTAGGGCATTCTACATGTGATATGCCGGTCAGTATGAATGTCGGAGTGGCGTAGAAGCTTCCTTACATCTCTGGAAATCGCGTATATGCCTAGATGAGCGGAGGATCGGTCAAGCTCGCGACAGGAAATATAAAATAGTATAACATACTTCTGATACATGCCAGCTGGCATGTAGCTGCTGTTATGGTTTGCAGGATGATGACAAACGACCACAGGGCCAGAGCACCCCGTTTCCCCAGGTTATCCCATAGGATCTACAATCGAGGCATAGGTTGTTTATACGCTATCATACTTAGGAGACAATGAACTGTCCACCTGAGCAAAAACAAGTTGAGTAGGGCCAGGTAGGGTGGAGAGATCCCGAACGCCGTAGCAAAGAGACACGTTCACGAAGAATCCAAATATGGACGTCAGAAACACTAGGAGGACCGTTAGCTTTGGTGTGCAAGGCGAGAGTTATCGAATCACAACCTGCGGAGACGATAGCAGCCGGCGTGGCTACCGCAGCGTTCTTGACTTCTTCAGACAAATCTATGAAGTACATAATCAGCGGTGCATAATTCAGTAATGCGTAGGTAGTCGGGTCTTACGTGCTGCAGCATCATAATCCGTCTAATAATGAGGACGTCAAAGTGAGCCCATATAACCGGCTGGATACTTGCCATGACCCATTGCACGCTCAGGATACCTAGCAAGAAGGCAAATCCTGTGCTACCCCAGCCCGATCCATCTTCTACCTGTCATGGATATCAAGCTGGCTTCCGATACAACCACATTCGTGACCTACGGTGTTCCATACAAATTTGTGGCTTGCCAGGTTACCTCGGCCCGCAGCAGGGATGGCTATGATGACGGCCAACGTAGTGAAGAGATTCACGTAGACTAATGCAAACGTGAGGGTCCCCCAGAGAGATGTGTCTCGCTGAATGCACACACCATAAAAGGATGCTATCCGGTGCAACGTCTTCGTAGGCAGGCTGTTCAGAATGCCCAAAGCGAAGTTGAGCCCGACGTATAGGCCCAATACCTGGCCGGTAGAGGCCGTAAATGTCCCATCCGTACCAATAGTAACAGCAGCGAATATCATCTGTGACCTAAAGGATAATTTGAGGAAAGCAAGACAAGGGAGATTTCACAGTTACCACCACTTACAACGCAAATGTGACGGAAGCTGGAGTAGCAAGCTGTCCGACCACTGTCATCCTGGTTGACATGAATACATTCCATATAAATCAGGACTGGCTATGACGTCCAGGTAGGCAAAGGCGCCGTACCATGCTGCTACGAACGTGGTACTTCGTCGGTACTTGGAAGGTACGACAAAGGCTGTGCTAGTATATATCCCTCCGGCGGTCGGATAGGCAGACACGAGCTCTATCGTTCCAATAATCAGCATATAATACTGGAGAATATGATCTTGAATGCAGACAGACCAGCTACAGATGCTGCGATTGCCATACAACCGAAGGATCCCAGAAACCACGCCCATATTGCGGTTCCCGGTCCTCCGAGCAATAGGGGAGTATTAAACGTAGATGCTATACTAGCAGAGCATCTGGGAAACTATGATACTTCCGTGTCGTGAGGAAGGGAACGGGACAGTAAGACATACCCTAGGATGCCGAGTGCAAAGCTGAGCGTGCTGAACTTGGTAAACTCTCGCTTCAGCTCCCGGCGAACGCCGAGTTTCCTCAATCTCGCATCCTCTTGCTCCAGGTTAATCGACGCTTTGTCGACTTTGTCGCTGGGCGTAAACATGGCGTTGGACGTACCTCAAGAAGCGCGGACGATATATGCGATTCAGCGCCCAGAGCGCCTGCCTTACGGAATTCCTATAAACCCAATTCATGAACGACCCTTGTATGTAAGCTCTACCTAAGCGGTAATTGGACGGGCTTATCCGAAGACATACTCTATCAATACCAGCGCTGCATCTTATCGCTCCCGTGCACCAGGCAGACGGAGGCAGTTGCTAGCTCGAGGCGTATCTCGTGGTTCCATGAATACAGCTCCGCTCGCTTCGCCGAGCCAGGTCTCCAGACGATCTGTCCACTGGCCACGCCCGGTCTCAAGTTACCTGCTGGCATTTGTGGTATCCTCCTACAACCAGGACAGCTGTCAGTAAAGGCGGTAAGTCACTGTAACCTTCGCACCGATAGGACATGCTTTATCTGTGAGCAGGTGCTTCGTTATCAGAATACGGCACTCCGCCACCACGGATAAGCCCGGTAAGCAGTCGTATCTCGGATATCTTTAGTGTCCGAAGTCTTAACGGGACAGCTATAATGGAGCAGTTCAGTGTCGCTCAGTTGCATTCCGCTTTCACGAGAATAGCTTCCCCGAGAATAGCGATGGCTGAGCTCCATACGCTGGATGTCCTACTTCTCAGTGTTATAGCGGCTGTCACATGGTATGTCTACGCCCGAGGTCAAAGAGCAAAGGAGTGCGTCAAAGTGACTGTGGCTGAAGACGAGAAACTACCGGATCCGGATCCTCTCTGGGATTTTGACCTAGTACGTCCTCAGTCCGTAAGCCACTCGACATCTTGTGCTGATCCGCTCTAGGCCACAGCCACAACTCGGAATCATCTGTACGTTAACAAGACCGTACGATGGCCGTATCACCAGGTTGGTGGCTATGCTCAGCCTCCCCGAGGTACTTTAATCAACTCAAATGTGTTTCATCAGACGATGTCGCATCAGCCGATGCATATCAATGACTGGATAGAAATCGACAAGGATTACAAGTGGTACATTGATGAGAAAGCGCGCGTCATTGCAGAGAAAGGTCTATATATAACCTTCATATGTCCCATCTCACCGCTCACTACGGCAATTTCAGGGAAGCATGTCATCGATTCCTGTCCCGACAATGATGAAGCATGCGGGGAACTCATGGAGATCTTGGTCGATTATCTCCCGAAGAGGTACCCCACGCTTTTTGAGAAAATCGACTGCGAAGGCGGTGGCATCTGGAATAAAGTCACCGACGAGAAGTTGATCGGGTTAGAAGGGAGAAAAGGAGTCGATGCGCTGACTGTCTGCTCTCGGTAGCTTCTGACCGACCATCATATCGACGGATCGAGATCTCTGAACGATGCTATGCAGGCTGGTACAAGACGATTTCTTGATGGGACGCGAACGTGAAGATGGCTCTGTCTACTTCACGGGAGGCCTCGTCGCATTCCCTGGTAGGTCGGCGACGCCAGCACTGAACCGTGAATTTGGAGATGCTTACGATCCGGTGTTCCAGGGTTCTACCTTCTCTCCAAGAAGATCAATAAAACCTTGAGATATGCTCACGCTCCCGTGCCATACTTCAATGAAAAGCTCTTGCTGAGTGTCGAACGGACTTTGAAGCGATTCAAACCGAATGAGCCGTTCGAACGTACCAGTTGGGAGATCGTTGACGATCGCAACCTTCATTGGCGTATGTGGTCGTGCCCTTTTGAGCTCCGTGGGGGGCGCCTCTTGATTATCCTACTTGGCTTCGTGGGTAGACAATATCGCCAACCTGGAGAGCGGCGCAAAACTGCCGAAGGGTTTCCATCCCAAGGACCTCTTCTTCCGTGTCGATCATCAAACTTTCCGGAAGTTACCAAGGACAAAAGGGATAATTTTCGGAGTGTACGCCTGCTGAAAGCTCCTCGCGAAATAACGTATTGGCATTAGTCTCACGACCATCATTATTGTAGCCATCCTATCATGAAACGTCTTGAAGACCTCGAGGACAGCCCACTGGTGCCGATGCTTCTGGCAAAAGTGCATGCCGAAGCCGATGAAAAGTTGATGAAGGTGACTCGCGTTTGAACTGTCTCCGCGTCTCCTGGATGTGTAACCGCTCTTGCCATATTCAGTACAAGGTAGCGCCCGCGTACCAAGATCTGATGATGCCCTATCTGGCAGAATTGACCGCTCGGCAAATTGAGAAGGGCCTCATAACGTATGTGGCGTATGGTGTACTACGGTGTCCTTGAGCTGACTTCTACTCATAGTGGGAAGGAGGAAGTGGCTGCGTTCCGTGAGCTCATTATGGATGGAAAGTACCCGAACACGCAGACGTCGCTGACACAGGCCACCGAGTCCGAGAAGTTTCTGCGGGCGTAGATCCTCAACTTAACCGGGGGCTGGCGATCGGTGTTGGCGTTAAGGCCCGAAGAGTCTTCGAAACGAGCGTAGGCTTCCATCGATTACTCATGTACATACGGATGTTCCATGAATACATCGGCGTCGCAAGGTAACCTCCTGGTTTGCGGGCTCGCATCTGATACCGGCGTAATGCGGGTCCCAAGACCTCCCCTGTCCTAACGCTTGTCAGCGCGCCCCTGGAAGATAGCAGACGAGATTGATACATTGGGGAAGAACCGGTCCTCCGCCGATTATACATTATAGTACACATCTACAAGCAAGAAAAAATACACAGTACTAGAAGTTACAGGGGGTAGAGATAGCCGTGATTCGGTTCTCAGAGTTCAGAGTTCAGAGTCCAAAGAAAGGATGATAGGAAGCAACTACGGAGCTGTGGTTTCGCTACGTCCTCAGTCAATATTGCGCCCGGACTGAAGCAAAACTGTCGCGACGATTGAGGGTTCGAGTAAACCTAACTCCAGGGCTCGAGGAGTGACTTCAAGGGTAACGGTGGCCTGCGTCTTTGAAACTGTGACCAGCGGCTGCGGAGCGGCAGACGATGTCGCGTATAACTGCCAATCGGACATGTAAGAATGTCACTATCAGACCGGCCAGCTGCGCTGAAGACATATGAAGACATACACAGATATGCCTCCCATTTGGTGCCCAGGCATACTGCCGATTACCAACCGTCATAATTCTGGATCTAACGCGCAGGATTGGTCAGGACTACCGCAGGCTTGTTCAACTGTCCATGCGACTTACAGCCCGTCACGGGACAACCCCAACCAATTCTGAATACTCTGCTTCGGAGCAACACCGCGGATTTCAATGGTTGGATGACTTCTCCACTCGATGATGGCCACGCTCCGACCTCGAGAGTCTTTAATGAAGGTGAAAATGGGGGAACTATTGGATTCCACCCGGTAATGGATATTGGCCTTTGCGTCGATCAAGACCGAGTGCAATATCGTAGGCGAAAATGCAGCGAAGGTGAGACATAGAGGGCCTCCTAGGTCATGTCCAGCCGGCGCTCCATAAGGCAGAGCTCCATAGACAGACGGGGGAGCAGAAGAACCGTAGTCCCAAGCCGACTGGTTCGACTGTCCCATCCCAGCGTTTTGCCAGCCTGTAGCGTAGGGATTCTGGGTAGTCGACATGTCGCGAAGCCTCAGGGCTGAATGGTGGGGTCCATGATTTTCGAGTGTGCGCCCTTAAAATACTGGCCCTCCATGAGGTGTAGAGGATGGGCGTGGTCATCTCGGCCATCTTTCATCAGGGCTCACACAATTCGAGCTGACCACAATGGGCGCGGGAAGACGCCTCCTTAGGAGAGTACAGTAAGCCTGCAAAGGTGAGGAATCAAACATCAAGTGGACGGAGATCTCGGGAGGGTGCGCTTCTTGTTCTTCGATCGCCGGAGCCAATGAAATGAGGCAATTGGCGCTCTTGGGGTGACCTTCCGGGATGCATGGACGACCTCGGACAAGCACAGTGCTGCGGAAGTCATTGCCTGTATAGATTTGCTGACCGGGGAGTATTGGCTATGCAGTGCAGCCTCCGAGCCAGAACCAGATAATGTGGCGGTGTACCAAGAAGGCAATGCCGCCATACTGGTCCGCCATGAACTGGCATCGTTCGCAACAGTTGGGCTATTGTGAGTACGTCCGATGGATGCGATGTTAGCTCTGCGTCTTGACAGTCGACATTAGGAAGGTGGAATTATGGGCGGGCTTACCGTTGTGTACACCGGCCCGGGTTCAAAGAGTGCAGCGGGGGTTGTTGAAGAAGCAACCTGTCAAGCGGTCCATAGCGACGCTCGTGTTAGAAGGAGGGCAAGTCAGAGCGGCAGCAATACTTCATATGTTACCGGGCGCGACGCGACCTGGTTTTGGCAAGTCAATGAAGTATCACCCACAATCCCGTACAAAAGTCGGTCCAGAAGTAGCAGAAGACATATATTTTGTGACGCCGACAGCGTTCAACGTCTAGAAGGGTAACCATACGCTAATCCTCCCTTCCTTCCGAAGCACCGGTGAATAGCTCACTAGGCGGCTCTGATTGCCTGAATGAAATGGAAGCCGTGACGTGACATACTGTGACACCTGGCGTTCAGTAGCGTCGTCGTTTACATCGAACGACTTGCAGCTGCAATATTGATCTGCTCCCGATGCCGCCGAAACTCCTGCTTCGACTTTGGAAATATGAGTTTACTCGTTGCCGATACTAGCTGATTACTGATCTCGGACTCGGCCTTGGATGTAACAAGGCCCTCCCGAAGTCCATGAAGTCGAGTATGGCTGCCGGCGGAATTTCGTGACGCTTACAGCGAACGGAAGTTAAGGCTCCGTTCGGTTGCACGGCCGCGTCGCGGCGCTCTCAAGGCGCCACAGCCAGCTCGGCCGCGTGGCAGTGCTTTTAGTGAGACGCGATTGGCTGAAAGACTGTTTTGGCCTCGTTGGCCGCGACGGGGCCATGCATCCGAACGGAGCCTAAAGTTAGAACGGACCAACAATAGGGGAAATCGCTGACTATGCAAGCCGATGTCCTTGTCCGCCTCACCCCCAGGCTCTACGCAAACGCAGTGCAACGGGCTGGTCTTCATCACAATGATGAACAGTAAATATTCTCTATCTCATGGCAGGCTGTTTTCGTGCCTTTTGGGTACTGGCATTCAGTAATATTCAGTAGTGTGAACGTGAGGGCGTCGACAGTCGCGGCGGTGCCCCTAGCCTGTCATGGCGCTGCGCGATGATGGGGACGCAGAGCAACAGCCTGTACTGCAATTCGCTGAGACTGAAGTACTGACGACTCGCCACTCACGTGTTATGCGGCGAGACATTCACGACACAGAAGGTGAGTCAGACTTGAGTCAGAGTACCGAACTGCCAAAAGCCTTCAAATCACAACTTTACGAGGCACTGTCACACAAGTCTCAAACATCGCCATACGCAGGATCACCATATCATGGACGGGGATAGAACAACTTACGAAAGGCACGAGGCAGGCTAACTGCGAGTTGACAAAGTTGACCATCGACAGGCAATGATCGTATCGCCCGCAGTGCTGAAAACCGATCGCTCCTCTTACAACACGCCGACGACAATTATAGGTACATCTTCGTAAGAAAGCGTTGATTGCGTCACATGAAGGAATGAATTGGTACAAGAATATAGAGCCATGAGACTGAATGATACACCAGGAAACCATCGGAGTGATCCACGTTTACTACATAGCATACCTGTGAAGGGTGTATAAGCATAAGCAAACAAAAATCCCGCCGCAAAGACACTCACTTCCTTGTCCACTCCCGCGCCGTTGCCTCGTACCGGGCCCGATCGGTCTTGTACAAATGCGCAATGTCGGGCACCAGGGGGTCATCAGGGTTGGGGTCTGTCAACATTGAACAAATCGAAAGTAAAACTGGATAGCAGATCAGCAGATCAGCACTACATTTAGACGATCCAACGCGCGGGGCGTCTACCTTTCGAGATGGTCAACGCTGGTGACCACTGATCCCTCAAGATGTCGAGACAGATCGAGCCGTTGGCGTTGATGTTGGGGTGGTAGATCTTGGTGGTGAAGCTGACCTTGGGCGGCTTGAAGGGGTAATCGGTCGGGAATGTGATCGATAAGAAAAACACGCCGCCGGCGTAAGGTGAGTCACCCTGTGGACCATCAGTCAACGACGGTCCCTTATGGGTCACGGATGTAATGTCACGTACAGGCCCCATGATCGTTGCTTGCCATTGGAACATGTTATCGCCAGTAGGTCCGGCGCTGCAGGAGGAGGGTGGGTCGCGCCCGAGGTCAATCAATTCCTGTAGAGGTGCAGAATGTGTTAGGTACCGCCGCACAGCTATGCTGTCCCTCCTCAGCCCGGTAAGCGCCCGCTGTGCGCCACAGGGGACAGACGACATCGGCGACAACTCACCTTGTTAATGCGCTTGAGAGCCATGACTATGCAATAATATTAATGCGAAGGCTTGACTATGGTCAATGTCGACGAAAAACGGGAGATCGGATGGGGATCGCGTGAGATCGTAGACCATGGCACAAGACGCGACGGCGGCGTCGATGTCCAATGTTATGGGGCGGGCAAGCGGAAGCAAGCGGCGAGACCGTCAGCAGCAGTGTAGACAGCATACAAAGCAGAAAAACTTACACTTAGAGAGTCTAGGACGAGGGGAGTGTATGGATGTGGTGGTAGATGACAAGACGTGAGTGCACAGGCGAAGGCTGTTTGGGCGTTTGTCATCTATTTGTGCCCTTTTGCCACGTGATACTCGCCCCGTTTTGTCTTCCGTCTCGAAGCCACTGGACCTTGTAAAGCTTGTTTTCGGACAATAAATGCTCGCCAGGAGGCTGTTACCACCGATATGCAAGGCTTTCTCTGTTTGAAGCTTTCGATCCAAACAGCGAGTCTCTGAGCGGCTGAAAAATACCCCATGCCGAGTCCAAACACAAGTACTGAAGACCGGTATGTACCCACCCCTGGCAAAGGGTGTTCACGTCCAGCATGAACCTTGCGGAGTCATTTGCCAAGAGCCACAATAAGCGAAAGATGGGTGCTCACGTCAAGGGGGTATAGCTTCCCGTTGAAGCATGTTAATGACTGGGCCGGAAGCCGAAATGAAGCTCGAAGTACCACCGACTACTCACGGGCCTCATGTCCTTGTTCATTCCGGTCCAGGGTTTCTGACGCTCTAGTCCTTTTAAAGACTCATCTGAGGCTTGGGGGTATTTGCCTTCATCACCTATTCTCTCCCGGTCTGCCCCTCCTTGTTGCAAATCTGAAAAAAGAGCCCGTATCTAACCCAGCTGGCCCGCAACAGCAACGCTTTGGATATGTCAATGCGACATTGCAAACGTGTTTCATATTGATCTCTGGCGGATGGTATAACAAAAGTCAGTCACCTGCGCGTTAGCTTAAATTTCTCTTCCGTCAATCGCTTCGCAATGGCTCGGGACCGTCACCCTCCAGGTTAGTTAGTCAGAGAGGAACTCCGGTGGCATCTTGAATGCAGTCGATGTCTGCCCCGAATCTCACTCCGCACATGGAACACGAGTATTCACATGTTTATCCTTCTTTGGTCAACAAAGGGCTCAATTAGGTATGTCCATTGCTAATGGTCCCGTCCAAGTCCCGTCTTACCATCTAAGTAGGTGGCATGCTTGTCCCGCATCACGATGTACTTATTTGTTCTCATGACCGGATCGGTTGGTATACTTAAAGCTAATCTCTCGCACGTTTATACAGCTCTCATCACTCTGAACGGCCGTACCAGTCGTCAAGCGTCCTCCATGACCGTCTCTCAAGAACAAGAGAAGTATACTCTCCTGCTTTCCTTCGAGCCGCCCTCAGAGTCGTCCGACGAATCGAATAGCTGTTCGGATGAAGAAGAGACGCAGTCCACATTCTCTGCTTCCATGTCCGATGCCACCCAATCCCAGACAGTCCAAGGTATTTTCGCTCATTATCTCCACGAGGGCTATGCTCATTCCAGCGCAGAAAAGACCCAATGCATTGCCCATGATGACACATCCGATGCCACCCAACCGGATAGTGTCCATACTATTACCGTTGACACTGCCCGAGCCCCCTCGGGCACCACCGAACCTGATGAGGACAAAACACCACCAGTCTCCCCGGCCTCCGCACCTATCACAGCGCCCTCGGAACCTGTCCCTCATACGCCTGTCGAATCCCTTTCAGACGGCTGCTCCACCTCAAAAGAAGAGCACGATCGATCCGTCTCTCCGGCCGCAGCTCCCAGTCCAACACCATCGGCGGTAGTCAGCGGTGCCCTTGTTCAGTCTCCTTCCGAAGGTTGTATCACTTCAGATGAGGACGAAACGCAGTCCGTTTCGTCTGTCTCCGTCTCCAGCAACCCTGCGGTGACCGTCGGTGCTACTCCGATCGACACTCTCCCAGACGAGTTACTGTTAGAAGTATGGCGATGGGCCTTTCCTGCTTGTCAGTCTGCTGGATGTCTGTGCACCGCTCCTTGGCCCGCCCATGGGGTATGCAGACGCTGGCGAGCAATCATTCTATCGAGTGCGAGCTTTTGGACGATCTTCCACGTCCCACCACAGCCCGCAACACGGACCATGCAGAGGCGCCTTTCCCGTTCGAAGCACTATGGCCTGCATGTGAATATCGTGGCAGCCTCTGAAGGTCAGGACTGCTTGGATGAGCGGCTGGTTAAAGTCGTGAAAATGCTGGTCCAGCAGTGCCACCGCTGGAAGACCTGTCGTATCGATATGACATCCTTACCATCGCGACGCGCAAAGCGATTTTTGTCCCTCTTCAAGGACCTACGCGCGCCCCGCCTGGTCGAGTTAACCGTCCTGTCATACTTCGAGAAGATGCAACCGGTTCCATTCGCGAACAGCTTGCCTGCCTTGACCAAACTGGTTTTGCGTGGACCGATAAACCTTCGTAAAAATCTGCACCTCTTGTCGGGTCTGACCACCTTGGTGATAGATCAAGTACACGGGGCTACCGGTGTTACGCATCACGAACTCCAAGCGGCACTTGCTAACTGCCCAGGCCTCACTCGGCTTACGATGGACGGTGCATGGGTGGACTATGACCCTTCCGATGTTGATTCCAGAGAATATGATCTGATTCATCTTCCGTCCTTGGAGTTCCTGAAGCTTACCCTGGCTGTGGGGGAAGTAACCTTCGTTTCCGGACTCTTCAGACATCTTTCTGCCCCTGCCCTGAGGACTCTGAAACTGCATGAATTCTCGTCTGACACATTCGATGCATTCATCGCTGCAATATCATGCGACACATCTCCATTCCGGACGCCGTACCTGGCCACGCTGTCCTTGTTTGGGATCGAGGCCCCCTCAGACCCTAATTACGCTGCAATCGGTGATGACGGGCCGGACGGGGGAGATCAACGCGATGGTCAAATAGAAGATCACGACAAAGACGTGCGTCAAAGACGGCAGGGGGAGCGTGAATCTGATACTGAAGAGGACAGTGGCAACCAGACCGATCCTGAAGCCGCTGCGACTAGTGATTGCGAGGACCAGGAAGAAACTGAAGAGGGTGACCAGGTGGAAAGAGGCGAGGAAGAGAATGGGACGAGAGGAGAAAGCATCGGCGAGACTGATCCTGGCGCTGATGGGCAAAGCGGAGACGAAACCGCTTCAGAGACTCGCAACGGCGATGAAGCGCAACGAGACGATGGCGAGAAAGAAGGCGGAGGGGAGGGCGCTTCTGCGACCAGCACCGCTGAAGACAATGGTGATGACGCGATTGAAGAGTACAGAGATGCGGACAATAACTTTCACCGTTGCATCCATTGCTTCCCTTCGGTCACTAAGTTGATCATTGGCGACAGCGGTTTACCTGAACTCCTCAAGGCCCTAACTCTTCCCCTGGAAACTGGCGAGCTCGCATGCCCTCGGCTTCATACCCTACTCTGGTCGGCGTCAGATGATTCAGGTTGCATTACACCACTTGACGCTATTCGGAGGTTTATTGCCAGGCGTGCCTCCCTTGGGTTCCCGCTGTCGAAGCTCCGTGTTCAAGAGAGTCACTTCATGAAGCTTGATGAACCTATCAGACGACGGTTCCATACTGAAGTCGAAGTGGACCTATACCACGAATGGTGGGACTATGACGATGACCATGATGAGGCGGGGCTTGAGGTTCGTGTCCCACTTTAGCCTCGATCGCGGTTGCGTCGTAACCTTGGTCGGATTTGTGCACCCTGAGGATTTACTATATTCGAACACCACGAGCAACAGCTTTGATCGTGCAATACGACAGTTTGTGGCAAGGGTATGATTCAAGGTGCCCCACCTCGCGCCATTTTCTTGTCATGTCCCCTCTTCCGTTGCACGTTCCCTCTTCGCTCCTTCCGTGCTCTGTCCCGATTCATGTCACCACCGCCGCCGCCGCCACCTCTGCCCCTACCACCACCTCGGCCGCGTCCACGGCCACCTCTCTGTCCTCCTCTTCCTCCAGGCGCACCAGAAGTGGAAGCAACGGGTGGTGACTCCTGTCTGTTTCCGGAGAACTCGTACTTCTCTTGCAGCCTTTGCTTTGCTTTGGGCTGGACACGGATATTCATCGAAATCAGCGATCAAGATTATAAACGAAGCACTCACGTCTCTCTCGAGCATGATCCGCCATCCTTCGATTTGTTCGTCCGACCAGCCTGTACATCAGCTTAAAAGAGTATCTGACACGAGGCATCAGGCAACTTACCGGTCTCCGCCTTGAGCTTGCCTCTACCGTCACTCCGTCTGGTCTTCGCGTCCCTCTCAAATAAGCTGGGATCAGCCAGGTAAGCATGCTCGATGATCCCTTCAGGATTCCGAGGCGCCTGAGTCCCAGCCTCCCCATCGTCGTGCTCGCCGTCTGTGGACGAAGACCCTTCGATGTCATCGTCGTCTCCGCCGACTTTCACCCTGACCGCGTCCAGGTCATCGTCCTCGTCGAAGGCGACGTTTGTGGTATGCGACTCCTCTTCCTCATCAGACGACATTTCCTCGACACGCCTCAGGATGTCAGCTTTCATCTGCGCTAAGTAGGGATCTTTGGCAAAGCTGGTGTCCTCTCTTGGGATTGTCCTCGGATGAGCCTGGATGCCTCATTTCGGGCAGCATGATGTATTATAACGTACCTGTTTTTACCTACCCAAACCTGGGCCTCTTCAATTCTCTCGTCATCGAATACGTTCCTTCTCTGCGAAATATACTGCTTGATGTCTTCTTCGACTTTGTTTGTGCCTTTTACATTCCCGACTTCAGAATTAAGGAGCTCTTCCGGAGATGGGACAATGCCTTCCAGTATTCCCTCCACAACCGCCTCGACACCCCGTCCGCCCTTGAGGAGCTGCCTGACATAGGAAGGATCCTGATCTGACAGGATATCGAGTACCTGCGTTACTTTCAGGTCGAGATCCAAGTCAGGCTCTTCCGGCGCTGCACGCTCTTTACCCTTTGATGCCACTTCAGGTGGGGGCGTCGAGGATGTTCTCCTCAACTCAGGCTCGACAGGCTGCAGTCTCGGCATTCCGGACGACCGCAGAAGCAACTTGACCATCTCAGGCTGCAGCGATTGCTCCTGCTTCTCGGCTTCAGTCTCCAGCGACCGTAAAGAAGCTTCCAGAGCCTCCCATTTCTTATTATCCGTTTGCATGAGAGACACGAGGGTACGCGAGAGCTGCTGCGACTGTGTAGTCAGATAATCTGTGAGTAGAGGTCGGTTCACGAACGGAATGGGCTGAGCAGAGGAAGCTGAAGTTGTATCAGGGGACGAAAGCTGCGTAAGGGCCGAGAGTATGTCCAAAGCATTCAGCATTTGTGAACTCGACGCGGACGGGGAGATCGAGGCTAGCAAGGAGGACAGAAGGATATGGAACGAATCTAATATAGACCGCTTTGTCTGTAGGTATAGCAGCTCCCAATCATCCAGACGGTCCGGGTGTGATTGCGCGTTTGCGGCCAAGTTGCCTATTCCTCCATACGATCGAGCAATCGACGCGAGACCCTCGTCATACGCTCTAGCTAGGGTTGTAATGAATTGCTTGCTGAGGGCAAATGGCGCGATGAATTCCTTCGGTGAGCAGCGAAGGAAGCATTCGAGGATATGTGCTGTCTTGCGCAGCCCGTAGAGCCCTCCCGAGTGGCCAGGCGAGAGTAAAGCGGTCAAGGCAGGTACGGCTTCCTCGGCGACATTCTGAGAGAGCGAGCCAGACGTAGCCAAAGCGGACGAGAGCAGAGACCGCACTCGCGAGGGAAAGGCGGCAAATACCACACATAGGTCGAGCAAGACCTGCAAGGAAGGCCTTGCTTCTGGATTGGGTGAAGTCACTAGGGCCTGCGCTAGGGCTAAGACTTTCCCCTTCAACTTCCTGCCTTCGGGCTCGCGCTTCTCTCGCTCTTTCACATCCTGGATGCCCCATATCAGCATCTGCAAGTCGTCCCTAGCCACATTTCTTGCGTATGACTCCAGAAATGAGAGAGACGATTTGCTGTCCCGCTTTTCCGGCGGAAGGGGAAGAGTCTGCGACAAGATCGTAAGCACAGTTGCATTCAGCGTACTACGCTGAGCCGGAGACAACGAAGCGAGAGAAGCGGTGGAGGGATACGAGGGAAGCCTCGGTATTATGGAGGTCATTGATCAGAAGTAAAACAAGTGCCTTCAAGTTCCGGAGGTATATCCTGGTGGCAGACCGCGTTCTATTACAACGTCGAGATAGAAAGCTTAACCTAGCGGACCCTCAGAAGTCGGCATCACTGCTAGGATCGGCGGAATTCACACGCTCAAAATGGTATTTGTCAGAGCTCAACCAAATGTTTTGTGGTTTGTAACACTGACACACATCCCGATCGTTCTGGAATGGTGTGTTACCATCTCTTTCTGGAGTATCAAGGTTAATATTGGCCTCCCTCACCCCTGGAAGAAATCCAGAGTCATACTCCACAAAAGAACGACAATCAATTTACACAACTTAAGAAACCATACGAGGAAGACCATTTATGATCGCTGAAGCGCCATGTCCCGGAGCCAAAAGTGCCAGCAGAAACAAGGACACGGTTGCACTGTTATTACTGCTACCATCAGCGCTGCTTGATGAGCTCGGGCTCTCTGCAGGGTATTCCCTCAGTAGTGATGAAGGCGGATAAATCAAAAACCTAGCTTACCTTCTCCTATTCAAGGCCCTCTTAAACTGTGCAAGGGCAGCCATCTTTGTCCTGACAGACTTCCACCGTCCTGTTGCTGTGATTTGGGGCGGCGCACCGGCAGCATCCTGAGAATCACCCTCCGTTACGTCGGCTGCGCTGCTCCGAGATGTCTCAATAGCTGGGTTCATTTGCAAAGATCCCGGGAGGTCGAGGGGATTCCCGCCTCCAGCCGGCATCGGTACCGGCACAGCGAGTGTGTTATCTCCTGGAGAACTAGCAGCGTAAGGGGGCGGCCCTTGCGACCTGCTGGATGTATGTGAAATATGTGTGTGCCGTTCCAGCGCCGCTGTCAAAGAAATGGTTCCCCCCGTATCGGAGGTCTCGGGGCTCATACTCGCAAACCAAGAGTCCCTCGAGGTCTCGACTGGACTTGCTGGCTGTGACCGACCGCTATACCGGAGGATCAGGAGACGAGTGGAATGACATGAGCAACTCGCTTACATGAACTCCAAGGAGACATCTCTAATGCTCTCCGACCCAAGAACCAGAATACCCGGGGGAAGTTTACCATCGTCAGACCTGCTCTTGAGTTCAGAAACCTTCTCTGACTCCTCTCTATAGCAGTAGTCAGAATCTGGTAGAAATATTGCCTCGAACGACAAACCGAAGTACGGAAAGCACCCTCATCATCCGGGCGACAGATCTGATCTTGATTTTGATCACATTTTTTCTATCCTCATAAGCAGGAGGATGTAGAGAGGTACCCGCGGTGGCGTTACGTGGCTCCGCATCGTCACTTGAACTGGAGACAAGGTGTGTTCTGTCGATCTTGCCTACTGCATTTCGTCATGTGGCTTGCAGCTGTTTTATATACGAGCAGGACACATACCTCGGCCCTCGGACAGGATGATCCTTGGTGCCACCGCTTCTATCGCTTTCTGGACCTCGTCAGGATCTGATGAGTCCTGGTATCTCTTGTCATCAGCGCTTGCATACTAGGCAGTGATAGGCAGTTTACCTTGACATATGGATGTAGGTCATCGTCATGGGCAATCGCTATCTTGGCAGAGGAGTTCTGTAACAACAGAGGCAATATGTACACACGACAACCGTATAACGAGCTTGGCACAGACCTTCAAGATGTAGTCTAAGACAGGAGATAGCGGATTGAGATCCTAACAGGATCTATTAAATATCGACCGCTATTAACATGATGGAGCGTGCTCACGCAAGTGTTCGCCGGAGACTCTCCGGACAGAGTGAACAACTCTGGAACGTTGTCTGGGCTTCGGTCCCCTGATCCGAGATCGTCAGGACCGGCAGCAGCCTTCAATTTGAATGGCCTTGGGACAGCAGCCCGCATGCTGTATCCCCTGACAAAAACGCACTGGTCATACGTGGCATTTGTTTGCGGGTCATGAAGAACGACCTTTCCTCGACCTGGAGAAGGAGGATCAACCGGCTGAGGACCGTGATGGGAATGGACTATCCCCTGGGTCCTCCAACCGTAAGACATGCCGAACGTAGCTGTAACGCCAGGAATGCCCGCCCCTACTCCAACGCTGGCATTGCCCTCAGAACGTGTGAACGCGACCATGGCCCATCGTGTTGTCACGTCTCGACCTGTTACAAGGATGATGTCCGATAACGAGACACCTCGCTTGAGACGGCTGGCAAAGGCGGCCCAGGACTCGTAATTATCCAGGAAAAAATCTTCAAAAAGTTCTGTGGAAAGGACGTCCTTGCGAAAGGCCTTGTCGAACAAGATGAGAGCGGCCCCTCTTTCTTTCGTACAAGAGAAGGATAATTCCCCAGACCCGCCCGCAGTGTCCCTGGTTGTAAATAGAGAGCTTAGAACGTTAACTTTGAAGAAGAGATAATGGCCGCTTACCCGGCTGATACCCCAGCAGTTCCTGAAATGTTTCGAACGCTATGCGAGTGAAGCGCCCGCTTCTCGATGGGATTCCGGGACTGAGTAACTTTTCCTACCGGTTTCAGTGGGGAGAAATTTTCGGGGACACCCAGGCTTCGGTGAGAGGGGTCGTCGGCGGGGAGCAATATGTTAAATAGACGGTGAAAGCCCCCGTTCCTGATATAGCCGACGTCGCCAACTTCGACCCTCACGTCTTCTCCGTTAGCTTTGGGATCGGCTTCCCAAAGTGCTCGACCGTGGTTTAAGCAGGCGAGCTGAGTGTTGTAGACGTCCCAATGGGTCGTTGTTTTCCGGCCCATGAGAGGAAGAGATTACGAATTGGCTGGAGAAGCGCTCAGAGCGAGGAGGAACCCTCTTTATACTAGAGCTATGGTCAACAGGCGCTTGCATACGCTAACAATAGTTACATAGGGTAACCGTTCCATTTCCGAGGCGCCTTGGTGTACAGCAGTACCCAGAACGTTGAGACAGATGCCATCACAGTGCCGTCTGTTATTGTTCCGCACATGCAGTCGGACCTTTCTGTGGGAGGATGATAAGCAGGCCGAACCCCCGACCGAATTTTCCAGTCCTGCGTTGGTCAATTAGCAGAGTAGACCAAAGAGACTAGACAAGTGGACGCCACCAAGTCCACAGAAACGTAGCCCGTATTGAGGCAACCTACACGACAGTGCCGGCAGAGTGAACTGATGAGGGGTATATCCTGGCCACATTAGCGCCAAATAATTAAACTGGAATCCCGAAAGACAGCTCAGGACAGGACCAACTCACAGCCGATTATCGAGTTCGCCTCAGGGCAGAGGTGAATGATCCCAAAGGGTTCTCCTCGCGGAATCAACGCCAGGTGATTGAAACGTCGTGGATGAATTCATTGAATTATATTGAGTATTCCGATTGAAGGACAATTCGCTCGGAGACCTTTCCGTGGGAGGAAAACATATGGCACATCCGGTGTAGACATCATACGTCGCCACAGACTCGGGGCGAGTGACCTTCCAATGCAAAGATCATAGTCTGCTACGGAGTTCCGACTTATCTCTTCGGTAATTCCATCTTCGCCAGAACCAGTACTTTCCGCTTCGACTCCGTTACCCTAAGGCCCAGGATATCATTGTAGTGCGTGCTTCCCCTAGTTAATGAAGGAATCGAAAGTGACACAGGAAAGTTGCGTGTAATGGGTTAGTAATGGGTTAGATAGTCCACGGAATTCACACGCTCAATATGGCTTTTGTCTAGAATCCTGTTTACTCCAGACTCTGTGCTAAGTTCAACGTAAAAGACTGCTTCCGGCATGCAGCTTCATGCAATTCTTGCTTGGTTCCATCCCAACGGAAAAACTGACGAATATACTCGAATGGATGGGCGATGCAACCACGCCGCACATGCACTGGTATCGCTAGCAGTCGTTCTGTCTATCGCTGGTGATAATGCCTTCGAACCTTGAAGCAACTGGAGTCCTAACCCCTCGCACCTCTGATACACTCTCAGACTGTTATTCCGCGTGCCCTCCGCGTTTTGGCTTGCCATCTGGTTTGGGCTTTGGCTTGGGTCTCGGGATTGGTTTTCGAACCGGACCCATGAAATGTATCTTGGGTCTGACGGCGCTTTGATAGCCTGCAGCTTTCTCTGGGGGTCCTCCACTGGTGGAATCTGCTTCTATCTCGTCGACATCCAGGCGATTATCATCCTTCCCGCTCTGCAGCCTACAAAGAAGCTCGCGTAAGATGCTCAGGCAGAGCGCACAACTTGGCAGGTGCTTACCCCGAGTGTCCGCCCACTGTCAGTTGCGCTGCCCCCGAGTCCAGAAGGATGCCTATGGATTGTGATACTAGAACCCACAGCAAACACGTCAGCAGGGAAACACCACAAGTCCAGCCCAGCCCAACACTAACGCATGGATAATATTGCCGAAGACCTGTACTGCAGGTAGTCTCCTTTGATCGCATCTTGGGACATCATGGATTCCGAGGAACGTAAGCTGCAGATGACCCTCGGTTGCTCCTTGGTATGACCCCTTATACAAGTGAAGCTGTGCAGGAACATGGAGAATGCACCGCCCCTTCCACGAGGCTGTCCCCGTTCTTATTTTGTCTAGTCTTCTGAGTCGTCGCGGTGGAGCTTTCGGAACTCTTTGACTCTATATATTAGCTGACAGGCCTGCGGTATACTCTGACTGCCCTATTCTGACTTCGCGGGGCAACCTCGCAGTGGCGGAAGATGTCCGTAGGTTAACGTTTAGGCTCCGAATCGAACCCGCAAAGCCGCTGGATGGATCTCGAACGCTTGGTACTTGCAAGATCTGTACAGATCCAGATGTTGACATTCAGCATGGGACTGCTATCAAGCTTTAGGCGTACTCGAGCTGTGCCGCTATACTGAGACGTTGCGACGTGCCATACTAAATATCCTCATTCAGTGTTCAGTTTTACAGGAGATGACACTCAAATCGTCCGACCACAATGAAGATCTCGATGACGAGGCCCAGTAACTGCCAAATCTGGAAGTGTTCAACGCCCGATTTGGCAGTTACCTTGTCGCTGTGGCTTGCGACCCTGGACTTCGAGTGGCACACGGGCCTAGATATGTCTATTGTCCGGGACGAACCCGCACCACGCTTAGGTCTCAGCTGTGGCCGCCACTCGTAGTTCACCTTTCACCTTTCACCTTTACCACCACCATCCAGAGCATACTCCGCCACTCCCGAGCATAATCCTTCAAGCTTCATGTCGAACGGTGTTTCCTCTTCGACAGCCGCGCCAACGCGCAGATTGCGAAATACAAGGCAGCGCGAGGAGCGACGCGGGCGGACCACAGCTACACCCGCGTTGTTGGGTGGGAGACGCGCGAAACGAGCAAATAAAGTGAAGATCGAAACCCCTCCGGCCCACCTGCCTGCGCAGGATGGAGAGCCTTCCCTACACTCGCAGCAGGCGGGACAAGATGGACAGGACACTGCCTTGGAGTCCGAGCGCGATCGTCGCGCAGGATCTCCCCTTGCACCCGCAAACCTCTCGCCTATATTGTCGCACCTGCCATCCCGACGTACCACTCCTCCCCGGGCACCTTCAATTCCAGACGAAACCCTTAATGCTGGCTTCCCTAGTGCTGAACCAAACCACGGGCTATCATCTTCCTCGCCTTTAACTGCCTCTGAAGGAGCCGAATCTATTCTCGCGGGTTCCCCCAGTAAACTTGCACAGCCTGGCAGGTCCTCGCTCAAGCGTAAACGATCGCGACCTTCCCTGATTCCTGGAGACGGAGACCAGCGTCGACGTTCCTTTCCCGTATCGACGCATTCCGGATACAACCCCGTCCTCCCCCCCGCGATTCCTTACATTGAACCCTCCAAATCATTTACGCGTGCTCAGCCTGCGAATCCATTTCTCGGCCCACCCAATCGAACACGTCAACGACGCATCTTCCGGGCGAGTTCTCCTCTGGACTTGGACGAGGCGGTTCGTCCTGTCCTCTCTGCCGATGAACCGAGCAAGGCGGGTCGCTCGATTCTGAGGTCGTCCTCGTCTCCTCCACAGTCAGGTCGTACTCCGGCGAGCCGCAGAAGTCAGGCACCACCGCCCGACGCGATTCCCGATATGGACGCATCTGGGGCACTGAATGAAGCTCTGCAAGACCGTGACCCGTACCAGAGTGCGTCCGCTGCAGGCTTTACTACGCAGCTAAATCCACCACCACCGGCATTCGAGCGATCTCTTGTGTCCCCTGATGCTAGACCTGGTTACCCCCAGGCTCACCGTGAGACTGAGGACATTGTTCCTCCCGTTGCTGAACCAAGCCGTAATATCAATGTCGCTCTTCCCCAACCGTCATCTGCGAGTAGGAGCTCACCACTTACCAACAATGTCAACGTAGAGTCATCCGCGTTATCGCATGACGGGGCGCCTGCCGCTGGTCTTGGTTTATCTGGTGTAACACCGATCGCTTCACATGGCAACGTCGGAGCATCTTCGCAGGCTGCTGAGCCCTCTTCACGCTCCGCCGATATCCCGGAAATGGTACCAAATGGTCACTCGCCGATCCACACCGAAGATCTAATTCATGTCGATCCACCATTGAACCGAGAGCCTCACCCTCCGCAGGGCAGCCCATCGAGATCTCCGCATTCCGTCGTGCCTCGTTATCCGTCTCACCCTGCCACCCCGTCTGGGCGTGCCAGCTCGCCAGTGTCAGAAGGAGAACAATGCGAGGGCCCCATGTACGTGGCGGATTTCACCTATCCCCCACCCCCAAAGTACGCTGCCTATGGGGCGAATTGGCTTGACGCTATGGCCGACACACTTAACCAGTCAATGTCGTACTTGAAGCACGAGATTCAGCAAGTAATCGAGGAGAGCATGGTTATATTCGCAGAGATGACGCTGTTGAAGCAGGAAGTTGATCGCGAGGAAGTATGGATGAACAAGTTCATTTGGAGGATTGAGCAGATATGTGGGGAGGCACTCGCGAATGATCTGCTGAACAAGGCAACCGAGGAGGCGAAGCGCGAAATACAGGCTTGGTGAGTTTCCACGCTGAAGAAAGCAAGCATTTATGCAAGTCATGATAATAACTGATAATTTTATAATAGGGAGTTGGCCCGACGAGGCGACGCCAACTCAGACGCTACAGACGCGGGATTTGAAGTTAGACCGTTGGAAGTGGAGGACCGGAGCGACAAGTAGGTCTACCCTTGGGCAGTCGGCGAATACCCTTGCTAATTCATTCCCTGCCTCAATAGTCCACATGAAGAGCCTGTGGAGCCTGTTCGTCCAAGAGTTGACAAGGGCAAAAGGTAAATGGCTTCGCTCCCGTTCCTCCGTCCATCGCGGCTGATTCCTCGTTTCCAGGCGAGCCACCAGTGCTGAGCTCGAGTATGAGGACGAAGTCGAGTCTTCTGCAGCACGAGAAAATCTGTCAGATGCTGCAGCCTTGGTCATGCAGGCGTCCAACCTTACAGGCAGCGTGCCACAGGACGACCCTCACCATCGCGTCGCAACTAGCCACCATCTGAGTCCGCCGGTGGGTCGGAAGCGCTCAAGGGAGGAACGAGAGTGTGAAGGAGAAGACGTCCAGGAGAACGATAGACTGCAGAAGAAACATAATCATCGACTCTCCCGGTAGTATTCATTCGTGGCCCTTCGTTCCTGCTTTATTGTCCCGTGCTTCAATGATACGTCCAGCTATAGCTAACGGATATGTGCCGACTCTCGTCAATTACCGCCAGGGGGTTTGTCCCTTTTTTATTGTTCTTGTTTTTTTGGTATCACGACTGTATCGCCATATATCTACGTATCTCCGAGCCAGGAGCTAGTCCCGGCTCACTTGCGGTATACATGTCTGTGTCCGCCAGTGTGGTGCACTGAGTGGCTCATGATCAAGATACATCTTTCAGTCATCGCTCTGCCAATGCTCACCGAATTGCTTCAGATCACACGACTCAGGTCTCACACGCCGATTAGAACAGAAAAGTATATGTTCCGCTGCCGCTGTAATACAGGAGATGATAGGATAGAGGTGTACTACATTCCAGTTATTAATGACGGCAGTCTGCTAATCCCAGCGCAGCTGCACAACCTCGGTGTGCTTTGCTAGGATGCAGGCAACGCCGCAGAGGGCGAACTGTTGAGAATACGAGGAAAGAAACCAGATAATTATGTGTATGAACCTGACAATCCCGTTTCCTGCGCTGAAACGTCTTTATGACGACAGCCGTATTGCCACGACCTAGATATAAGTTAGCTAAAACGTTGTCATGAACCGGGCACGTACCACGAAACCACATTATACAAACAAGCGGCTGCAAAGAAGTGAACGAGCTCAAATGTAATAAAGATATGCAAAATGAAACGCGATATCCACTCTCGGATGCGGTAGCGCATAGCACCCCTGACGATGTCAGCGACAGTGGAACAGCGCACCTACTCTAGAGGGGTCACTCGTAGTCACCCCCGTCTTCATCGTCGCTTATAACGAGTATACCAGCATCGCGAGCACTTTCTGGCCATCTGATTGAAGGGAATCTGACCGAACTCCTGGTACTGTCTGTGGGACGTTTGCCTGAAGTTGAAGTAGGGATAGTATTTTTTAGCCCTTCCTCATATAATCTACTCAGAGCATATCCTCAGCCGATCCTCCGCGCAGATTTAGGCGTACTGGACATTAACGCACCGGTTCCTTTCGCGTATAAGGCGCATAATGGTGTCTTTCTCTTGTTTGTTCACGGCTGTCTCTAATTTGGCCATGAGCGCCTTCGTAGCGGCCAGATGCTCCTCTAGTCTATTCTGTCGTTCCAACAAAGCAAGCTTTTCGTGCGACGACGAATCACTCTTCGTCGCCATAGAACCAGAACCAGGGAACGGGATAATATCAGAATGAGGTGGTAAGTCCCGCGGTGAATCAACGACTGTAGCTGACCCGTCCGTGGAGGGAGTCCTGACAGTCTGGAGAGTTTCGGTGATGAACGAGATAGCTAGGTCGTCCAAATTGGATTGGCTGGTCGCAACTTTGCGAGCTTCGCTGTCCACTGGAGTATCGAGGACAGCGTCGGACAGCATACTCGGCTCCTCGACTTTGCCCTTGTGAGGAGCACTGCCAGCAGCGGCAGCCGATGTCCTAGCCTTAGCCTTGCGTGACGCAAGAACCAGCCGTCGAAGCGCCTCCTCTTTGGAAAGATCCCCCTCTGCGTGACCTGTAGCGAGAGTCTCTCTGCTGTCCAAGGATCCGGCCGTTGGCGTATCAGCAGTCTTCTTTTCGCTCATGAGACCTGCAGCTGCCAGAATTGGTGCACCGGGGCTCAGAGAGTCTTTTCGCCTCGCCAATTGGCTTTGTTGACTATGCCTCGGGCCCTTGGGTGCGTTAGCCATGGCACGAGGCTCCGAAGGAATACTTGTCGCTTTCGACTCGCCAGGCGCAAGGGATCCGAGGACAGAAGGGGAGATATGTCTCGGACTAAAATCCGAGCCGATATGCGATGGAGCGTGGGCCGCTGTGGGCATGTCGAACACTGTGGATACAGGTGGAACCTGAATCTGGCTGGTAGGTGAGAGCCGCTCGACGGGAGCAACGGACTCTCCGCCTGGTGCGGCAGACCTTCCGGATATCGGGCGTTTCAACGTTTTGTATTGATAGCGAGGCACGAAGGCAGGAGCAGAGGCACGAAGTTGCAGCTCCTGGGACAAAAGTTCAGATTTGACCTTGATACCGCCGTGACTGTCACCAAGGTCGTCCTCGATCATAACAGCATTCGGCCTAGGCGACGCATGTCTAGAGGAAGCAATTGATTCGTGGTCTTCTTCCTTGGCCAAGTGCGATATTGGAAGCTTCGAGACAAGACTTGGACTCCTGGAGTACTCAGAGTCTATATCCATGGGCTCGGGCTCATCCAACAGCTTGGCGACTTCTTCCGATGACTGGCTTCGACATGACATAGTGGGGCGCGCGGGTCCCAGGCGGCTAGAAGTGGGATCCGTCCCCGAGACAGACTCTGAGTCAGGCTGAGGGGCAAGCAATACGCTGTACCCCTGCTTCTGCACCTGCGCCAGCCGTCTTTTCTCCGCGGTGGCCTTAATCATCAGCTCAGCCAACTCCTTTTCTCGCGCCTTCTGTCCCGCCCGCTTCCCCCTCATCTTCTTTTGCTTCGGTTGTTGGGCAGTCTGGAGATCAGCCACGTCCCTCTGGTCATGTGTAGAGTCACTCCCAGGGGCGGGTTCCTCCTCCCCACCGATCTCTCCTTCCTCCAATTCACCAACACCGGCAGACGCACCCACCCCTGGCACCCTATACCACCATACGCAAATCTGATCCTTACCATCTCCCGCGAGTCTGGGGCTTGACCACGCCCGTCTTGCGGTCTCGACGCTAGAGAACTCGATTAAAGCTTTCGCGCCCTTCTTCTTCTTACCCTTGCCTCCAGTCAACTCGACCCTTACGACATTGGAGGCTCCGAAGGACTCCGCCCACTTGCGAACAAAGCTCAAGTGCCGGCAAGTCCAAGGCATGCTCTCCATCACCAGAGTACAAGACGGAATAGGCATCTTGAAGCCTTGTGCGTTCGGATCGTCGGGAGGAGGAGGAGATATCGGGTAGAGGCCATGCTCACTTTCTGGGTCGGGATCGGGAGGCATGCCGATAGGTATTATAGGCTTGTGGTGCATAGGAAGGGCTGTATGGGACGAATGGTTTTGGAAAGCAGTCACCGGCGGCGAGGAAACCATGCTCGCCGGTAACGGTACGGTAGGAGCATCGAAAGGGAAGTTGATGCTATCGCTTGCATACTCCTTGTTTGGAAGGTGATCACTGGGTGATTGCACTGACGGTCCGGCTCCGCTAGCGCCTGTAGCAGTCAAGACATGTCCGTATTGCATCCCTTGATTGACAACACCATAAGGCATAGCTTGTGAGGCAAACACGGCCATTTCTGGAGGCAGAGGGAGACCTTGCTGCATGAGTGTAGCAGCTAATGGTACAAGTGCGGGCCCTGTCAGCCAAGGTGGTAACGGCATTTGAGGGCCAGGGAAAGCATCGGGGAAGAACTGGTTATGATCAGGATACAAGGGAGCCGTGAAGCCTTTGCATGAACACAAAGGGTCAGGACAATTGAAAGGACATAGGGGTGTCGGATAGGTTGTGCCACCTTGATCACTCGAGACGTAAGGTTTACTAGGTAACTTGTGCATGGATGACTGTTCGCCCTGGGCTACAGACCAACCACGAACTTCGACCGTGCCCTTGGATTGAGACCCTTCTTGTAGTTGAGTTGAGCGATCGCGTTGTCTGTGCCGCCGTTTGGGCCGCTTAGCTTTGTTCTCCGTAACTTCTTCGTTCGCAGGTTGGGCAGACATAACATCACTGCTGGGGCCCGCGATGGGACTTGCAGACGAACGGCAGCCCACACCGCTATTGGTCCTCTTGCGTTTCAACACGACTCCCAGGGGTTCCACTTCACCTAACAGAGCAACGCGCTCACTTGAACCCGCTGAAATGTAACACCATGCACCGGCCAACTCACCTTCAAGCTCTCGCCCGAGACCTTGGCCAGGTATATACCCCATATTGAGCATCATATTATATGCTTTACTACCGGTGTGCTTGGGTATGTCTTTGGAACTTGAAGGTATATCTTCAGGCTTTCGCCGATGCTCTCCGAGGTATACGACTTCCTCGTCTTCGGATGACGAAACAAGAATTGGTGAATCCCTAGTTCCTACACTCTCATGTGCCATGCCCGTACGCGCGGACAGCTGTGTAGGTAAAGAGGACGAAAGACAGGGACTGTGGGTCGTGGCGAGATGCAAGTAGTATTGTGGGCGCATGTTTATTTTTCCTTTCCACATAGACTTCGGGTTTCTCCGCGTGCCACAGCTCCAGGACAAAAGCAGGGTGGACTTGTGTGGACGGTCTGAAGCCTCAGCTGTATAATAGGGTATCTTAGCGGTAAATACAGGTATACGTGCACCGTAACATGATATCCTTTCTAATATCACCAAAATTTGCCAAAAACACTGCTTCGTCCTAAGGTCGAGCCACGGAAGATCATACCTACACCTTCCTGTATTGCGGCACTTACAGGTCGCATGGGTGCCGAATCGTAGACGTGTGGACATGGCTGGGATAATGGCTTTACAGTGAGCCGAGGGTTCTCCAACTCCCTCTCGTACATCGACGGCTGCCTGGGGGAGTCACCGCCTTGATCATACTGTGGAGGGTCGTATGCTCGGCGAGCAGCCCTCAGCCGACCCAGAATCTGTCGACGGAAGGTGAGAATTGTCATGAGAGTGGACTTAACGTGATCAAGCACCTGCTCGTAAAAGGCAATCTCTCCGTCGAGGTGCTCCGTCGCAATGGTGCGAAAATCTTCGACTTTCTGCGCGTGGTACGTCTCCATTTCCGCCATGGTCGTATTCAGGACCGTCTCGCATCGAGCCGCTACCTCTTCATCTGGCTGCAGTATGATCAGTTATTGCATCACTCGAGTCTTCATTGTGCTTACGGAGGGTTGCGCCACGGCAGCGTTGTATCGGGAGAGGGCTGATCTATGGGTCTCGACTATCCCCTACGACAGTATTAGTCGTACTGAGCCCAGGCCCTCCGCCGCCTAAGCGCTACTTACGCTGTACATAGATGAGGGATGTGCCACGCTCTTAAGTGCTTCATGCGTAGCCAACTGCGTTCGCCTGGCCTAAGAAGCATTCAATAACGTCCGACAGTGCCGAACAAGCAACGCACATGATCGTCATACAGGTCAGCAACGTTTTGCAATGTCTCCGATGTCTTCTGCATTGCCTTCGTCAGCTTGAGGCAGTCTACGTTGAATGTACCTCAGACGGGCATGGGGATCAAGCGTCTTGGATGTACTAACCTCGACACCCGTCTCGCCAGCACCAAGCGCCTTCGTCATTGAGCATGCCTTTGACTTTGAAGTTGCCTTCCTCCTCGTCTAGTTCACTAATGCCAGTCGTTGGGGCCGACGCCAGAGGCTTCGACGTAATCAATGACAACAGGGCGTAAGAGAGCATCCTCTCCGCCTTCGACATCTCTGCGGATAGAAATGGTGAATATGGACTACGTCCTGCGTGAAAAATGGCCGTGGTCACCTAGTCGTGCTTCCCTCACTTGACCGAAAATATTGCGCAGGGTTTGCACGCCTTTCCCTACGCCGCGAGTATGGACATCAAACCGTTCTACGGCATCCGCAGCGTCCTCAGCATCCAGATTGAAATCAGGATGGAAGACGTGCGCATAGAATGCCGGACCAGCTGGGGGAAGGGAAAGATGATAAGGGAGCTGTCTTTTCCATTCCTAAGCCGTGATCAGCGGGCGAAGAGGCGGCGCGGCAAGTGTAACTACCCACCAAGTCGCTTTCACATCCTAGAAAGAATGTCAGGACTTCTGCGTATCTTGCGACCGGATGCCTCGCAATCCTGCAGATATATCGTTCAAGGTCCCCTCTCCGTGCTTCTACGAATTCGTCGCTGAACCGCCCCGCATACTGCTTCTCGGGCAGTGGTGGCAGGGCTATACCAGGCAATCGCCTTGTCAATGCTGTATGCAAGACCACGAAATGCGAGAATCTCCTGTGTACTGTGATGCGCATAGGCGAGCCTGGGGGAGACGCGTCCTCTCCAGTTCCATGTTCCGAAGTCGGGTGAAAGAGGGATGTGACGCTGTATAGAGTATACGCCCCTGACAGACTGGAGGTTCGCTTAGACGGAGAGTGAACCAGCACGCGGAAGGGCGGCACTTTCGTCTTCCACGCCGGGCCGACATCAACGAAATGTTGGTCTGCGTCCCCCATGCCGACCCTACTTAGACGGTTGCTTTCATTGTCCTCTTCGTCCAAGGTGCCGTCCTCAACGGATCGAGGTGGTAGTGCAGGTTCGGAATTGCAGCCCTTGAGAACCCACTCTTCAGCGCCACTGGTCACAAAGGTTGAAAACCGGTTTAAGCTTTTCCCCCCGAGAAGACTCTGCCGGAAGCTAGGGAACCATTCCCCGGTATGTTGGGGTATAATTGGGAGGGCTTGTTTCTCTCCCTTGGGGGAGCCGCGGGGTGTGATGGATTGCGCGGACGGTTCCCTTCTCCGTTCGAAAGGGGGTATTTCCAACGTCGGGGAAGTCATAAAGTCTGAGGTAAACTTCGACCAATGCCCTGGTGAGCGTTACCAAGCGATGTAAGTAGTGCGTTGGGAAAATAGTATTCACCGTATAATACGTCTGAGGCAATAACCCAACCTCCCCATTCTTGCCTGCTCGCACCAGACTCCATCCATCTCCAACCTCTTCCCTCAATACTTCCAGCTCATCTCCAGCTTCTACTGTCAGTTCTCTGAACTCTGCCTTTCCCTCGAAGTGATAGAGTGCTCGTGCAGCTTGACCTGTCTCTTCGTCGTCCTCCACTTCGAGTTCGTCGTCAGATAAGGAGGTGCTTGGATTAGCCTGTGTCCAAGCTGTTGAAGAATTGAAACCGGTATCGAAATCCGACACCGGGCGTGATTCAAAGAAAGATACTCCAGCAGGAGTTAACGTCGATTTCGTGGCTCGAGGCAAAGTCGACATGGCCATAAGTCAGCGGAGGGTATTCGTTGTCGACCAGTCTCAGTAGAGAGCAGGGACGTCTGTACAGTTTTAGTAAATTCAAGTCGGGTCTCAGGGTGTCGGACGATAGTGATGAGAGCTCGATTGTACAATAGGGGCTCCGATCGCGTCTTCGGCTAAGTGTTGGCGAGCCGCGTCCGTGGACCCTCGCGAGTCTCGAGGTGGAGAATTTGGGAAAAGCCATAAATGCAATTTGCAACCCTTTTAATTCGCCCCATGCGTGTTGGGCTTCAGTACATTACGCAAATGCATGTCGTATTATTGCATAAAGATACATTGGGTCCGTTTTGTATGCTTAACTTCTGGCTGCACAGCGCTTACTCGCAGTCAGGGAATCCAAGGCTTCCCCAGCCGGTCCATCCAGGGTGGCAAGCACGGAAGTGCGCCGTCTTGTCAATAGCATGTAGTTCAGCAATATCCTCATCCGTCAGATCGATGATCTTAGAGTTCGCTGCGAGACGTAATGAGCATCCCAGACCGCTGAAAATCATAGAAGCCGTTGCTTACAAAGGATACGCTCGTTAGTTACAGACTTGGGCAGAACTGTAATACAAAGTAATTGAGTGCACTCGAACCAACGCTTGGTACGAAGAGACAACTCTTACCGGTGACTCCAGGGCGGTTTGCTTGCAGTGAAATGAGGACGTTGGCGGGCGAGACACTGTATTTCTCAGCAATCTTGTTGACGACAGGGTTTTTCAGCAGCGGTGAGTTGTCAGAGCCGAGAGGTGAGTAGGCGGTCACGACGATGCCCTTGCTAACGCAGTAGTCCACAAGCTCCTGCTGCGGGCAGGACCTACAGGAGCATCAGGATTGCGCCATGGCAAAATTACAGTAATGCTGACTTACGGGTGCAACTCAATCTGGTTCACAGCGGGAACAACCTTGGCCTCTTTGAGCAGGCGTTCGAGGAATGCAACGGAAAAGTTCGAGACACCTATGAAAAACCTTCCAGTTGGCATGATTCTAACATTCGTTCTTCAGGAAGAACTCACCAATCGCCTTGAGCTTATCCGGGTTCTCCAAGTAGAGCTTCTCCATATCTTTCCAGGTCTGGAGCCAATCGTGGCCCTTGTCAGCCTTGCCGTCCTTAGTCATGGGTGCAGGCCAGTGCATCAACCCTAACCGCGGCGACGACGTGAATACCTTCGGGCAATACTGGCTCTATGGGTACATACAGAGGTCGAGGTAAGGGGTCTGGAGCTTTTCGAGAGAAGACTGTAGAGCAGCCGCCGGGTTCCTCTGGTCAGGGTTGTCAAGCTTGGTGGTCAGGAAAATCTGCTCCCTTGGAACGCCGGATGCCTTGATACCAAGGCCAACTTCCTTCTCGTTACCTGCGAAAGGACCCTTCAATGCCTGTAAATATCGTAGAATGCAAACGTTCTCGTACCGTAGGCGGCGGCAGTGTCAATGTGTCTGTAGCCGTTCTTCAAGGCGAACTCAACGGCGTGCTCGACAGCGCCAGGCTGGGACTTCCAAGTGCCTGTCAATGTGCGTACGACGTCAGGAGGACGCTTGCCTGTGTTAGGCAGCAAAACAACGTACCGAGCCCAACAGTGGGCATCTCAGCACCAGTGTTAAGCTTGACGGACGTTGAAGCGACCATTTTCGATACTGTTTGGGCTGAAGTTCGGTGGTATGGAGAAAGGAAGGGGTTTTAGGCTGTGGGGGTAGATAACTGGAAACAGATTATATGGGCAGGCCGGGGTATAATCGGATAAAATCATTCCGTCGGCACTCCAGGTGCGCACATCGATGATAAGTGAGATCGATGCTAGATAGGATCTCGGGAGCGGCAGAACGGTGCCGGCCTCTAGTAGTGACTTCATTAGCCCCTGAGTAATATCGAGCGAACGTTGGAATGCAACTGAACACATAGTTGGGATGTTGGATTTATTATTGGTGGTACATATTGGCTAGAGGAATGCTATGACCGGTGACTCTCCGCCAGCTACAGGGGACTTATGATGGCAGCCGTAGTACCGTCGACGTCTCTGCAAACCTGAGACTAAACTACATTTCGTTTGAGCTGAATATAGTACTAGATGTTATCTGTGAGATGTGACATTCGAAGCAGAGGGAGGACAAACGGCATGCACACTAGCTGAGCTTGGGAGAACAAAGCCTCGGAAATCGCACAGGTGTCTTGGCGGGGAAGAGAAGACCAAAGCATATACACTGCACTGTAAGATTTTGGAAGAATGTTCTAGGATGACGTGTTGTCAAGGTTGAGAATAAATTAAGATCCTAAGTAGGGACACAAGCTATTAATGAAGGTCAATTATAAATAAATTGCAGACAGAAGCCTCACATTCGTGGAAAGGTCGTGCGCGGCATGGTCGACTACTTGAGTCATCACTCCACTATCCGCCGGACGAAGAGTATGGCAGCGGTGAGAAGTACGACCAGGATGGACCGCCATGGGAGCGCAGTCTTCTCGTGCCCGCTTCTTCTCGAGGGCGCTCCCCAAAGCCACATTTTCATCACAGCACTTACCCCACCGACGTTCGTGTCTACCTCCTGGCCTTCCGCGATACGCCTCATCATCACGATGTACCACGCCATTTCCATGCCGGCGCCTATGAGTTTGGGGAAGCCGACTAGCCTGTTCACGGTATGCCACATCCGTTCACACCTCCCTGGAGCAAGCAATAAAGGTACCGGGCCACTGGCGTGGCTATGGCGGGGTAACTTCGATGTGGGGTCGGACAGGTCGCACCGAATACCGTCCATGACTCTACGTGGGAAGTCCGGGTACACGACCGACGAGCGTCCAATCCCTAGCAAATGTGCATGACCGTTCTCCAAGACCGAGGTACACTGCGCAGCAGTGCGCAAGCCGCCCGTGAGCAATATCAATGGAGTAGCTTTGGGTCCATCATGGCGCAAGGCCGTAAGAGCAGCGATGGCCTTCCGCGAGAAGTCAGAGAACAAAGCTTGACGGTCGGAAGAGGGTTGGAAAGTGCCCATGAACTCTGTAACAGTGTGATGAGCATGCTCCAAGCGAGTGGAAGCGCCGTACCTGGGTTTTCGTAGTCTCCTCCGCTGATCTCTATGAAGTCCACGAGGCCCCATGCCGCGATCTCGCGACAATGCCTCAGAGGCACATCAGCGGCTGTGGATCTGTCGCACTGGTTCGCGAATGTCACACCAGTATAATCAGCCGCGTTCAGTTTTATTCCAATGATGAAGTCTAAGGGTAAGGCATCACGGATAGAGACAAGTATACGGTGAACCAGCGCTAAAGCATGATCGCCGGTAGAATAAGCATCTGATCGGTGGTTGCTCTACTCCAGAAACAGGTTCAGTCGGACAGAAGGGCGAAACGGAGGAAGTGCGTCACTTTGGGCGATATGAATTGGGCGAGGAGGTCTGTATTCTTTAACTTCAGCATGCACAGCCATGATACTTGGACGGGATCTGCCCATTCCGAACAAGAGATACTGACATCCATGAGACGCGTGCAATTCAATACCGTTGAAACCAGCTTCAACGGCGAGCTGCGCTCCTCGCGTGAACTGCCGCACGGTAAGGTCGATATCGTCGAGTTGCATCTCTTTGGGCGTTTGAAACAGGACCCTGTAGAGAACTCGGCCGACGAAGCTAGTGTCATGGGTCAAGTCGTTCCCTAGACGGATTGCACTGGGAGCGAGAGGGGATGCGAAGGGCTTACGCCCCCCCAGGACATTAGGTGACTGCCTTCCAGCATGCGAGAGTTGCATAATCGCCAGGGTCTGAGAGCAACAAGAACGAATTGCACAGGAAAGATCTTTGAAGGGTTGAACCGTCGATTCTTCCAAAGTATCCGGTATTACCATATCTCGCCCGAGAGTAAGATGGTCGGGAGACACTTGAACGTTCCCGGTAATAATCATGCCCCACCGCCCATCAGACCATCTTCGGTAAAGATCTTGGTGGTATGTGTTGGGCGGCCCACCGAAGATCGCAGCTCCATGTTCGTACATTGCGACCTACGACCCGTTCACATCACTGAGGAACTCAGCGTCTGATTATATTGATACAACCGGACATGCCTTCACGAATCGATTGTTAATAGTTACTCCGCATGGCAGTCGCACTGCAGATGTCAGGCTGCAAGGAGTTCCGTTGTGGTCAGACGGCAGAGATTCTGCCATCTCGTCAGAGCAGCTTCGAGCTTCAGTTCCACTGCGGAAGGGACTCTGAACGCTCCCAGCTATTTGCGACTTCGGATCCTCCTAACGTCTTGTTTTGCGTAGGTAAACGAGGTATTGACGCTTCGGGACTTTCGACTTGGTCTTCCAAGTTGGTTGTGTTAGAAGGCGTTATGACGTTACTTCGGTCTAAGTGTTATGGGATGTCACATTACCACTTGATGCCACACCTGCGTTATAGGTCTGTGTACTTAGTCCTGCCTCTGGTGCTGCCGTGGCTTGGCTGTCTGCGTGACCTCCTTTGATCCATAGAACCGACAACGATGGCTTCAGTCGTACGATATCTGTGCCATCCCGGTCCGGATTAGGGGGTGATATGGTGCTGGAATAAACTTGTAAAGTCCTTCCCATTGACATGAACCGAACTCTCAGCGGCTATCCAACTCCCTGTCTCTTACCGAAGTCGCGGAGGCAAAGAAGATAGAGTTTCATCTTGCCTGGCTTACGGAGACTCTAGGGTGAAGCTCCAATGAAGACTCAAGGTTTCGGGATGTGCGACCACTAAAGCATTTCGTCAGAAACACGCGAATTACTTGCTCCTCCTGCTGCCCATGATAACGCTCCAACTTTGTTCTTCTACACTTGGTGAGAAGAGAGTGGCGAACGCCGTCACAACTGCAGGATAACATGCTGCTAACAGCAGTGAAGGAGATACAAAGAACAAATGCAGCCCTTCAACTGGTTTTCCGCGACAGGGAAGCTTGGATAAGGCACTCGTGCTTGTATCCTCGCCCAATCTGCGGTGCCTCGTCACGTCACCCGCACTGAGCCGTTCTTGCCTCAAGCATTATTCATAGCACGTTTCTAGCTCAGCGGTTATAAGGCTTTCAATGTATCCGGTCGAGAAGTAGGTCCCCCCCTCCTCTTCTGCAAATTATGCACAAGCCCTTCTCTTCTCAGCCTGATCCGGCGGACGTCCTTCGGGCTAATGTCGAGAATTTCAGTATGCCAGACGGCATACCCATCCTTATTACTAGTATGTAGATCCATCCCCCAATGCAATGTCTTCTCAATGTTCCTAGTCTGCCGTGCCTCCAATTTGCCTGTGTCGCATACCATGCATCGTGAACCAAGGGCTTACGTCGAGATCGGACTGCAAGGCCGTCCTTATTCGAGCAAAACCAAGATTGCGGATCCGAGTGTGTCTCCAACTTGGAATGACGAGAGACATGTCATGTGAGGCTTGTGTTTGTTGGGATTCCTTGCGACTCTCACTCCCGCACAGTATGGTGCCTCACCTGGAAACAAAAATATCATTCTCTGTACAACGATTCATGCACGCGCCAGTGCCGGGAAGAGAACCGTTGCTGGGGCAGTTTGCATGTCCCGCGCATGAACTGCTTTCTCTGCGTGGCCGTAAGTAGTCCTAGCTTGGACATATATGATGTCTAACCCATGTTCAGCTCACATGGTTACCCTGCACCACGACACTACCTGGCCCAGAGGAGGCCTCGAGTTGGAAGCCCAGCGGATAGCCATGGAGGAAGCCTTTGAGCTGGTCTTAAAGCGCGCACAAGAGCAGTTCGTCCCGTCAGGGTATTTCACGAAGCTCTTGCGATCTAATGCGTCCGGTCAAGACCCCATGTCTGCTCTCTCGGATGTTCTTTCAGCCTTAAGAAAGATTAAGAAAGCGGGAAATCTCGCGACCAAAGTAAGTTAAACGATGCGCGGTGGTCGTCATCTGACGGATTTCGCCAGATACACCCCCTCCTCAACGTGGCCTGGAAAGTGCTTTGTCTGGCAAGCGTAGTATGTCCACAGTGCAGGAAGATACTATCGCATCTACTGATAGATCCTTGATAGATATACGAGCTACAGTTGCAACATGATCATGAGGTCATGGACCTTCTCTCTGTCATGAGCGAGGTCTATCCTTATGTCGCGGCAGTGGCGGAAGCCGGCGTGGCACACATCAAGCAGTTCAGAGATCATATTTCTCGACTCCTGCATTTATCTGCTGAGTATGTCGGAGTCGTGGCTAAATGTGTCGCTCTTCCTGCCATGAGTATGTTAAAAAGGATGCAATTTTTGTATATCCGCTAACTGTACGCCCAGAGAGACTCATTAAACCTTCTCCCGGCGTTGATACTTACAGGAGACAGTTCGAACAACTGCGGGATTTGTTCCAGCTGGGGGCGAATGTGCAAGCTGTCATATCTGCCGGTCTTACTGCTCAAGCGGTGCTTGATATGGGTATGACCCAGTCACGTCTCAGAAACACTGTCCTCCTCATCCTTCTTCCCAGAATCACATATGATCCTCTCTCGTCTGAAGCCTGCGTATACAAGGCAATCTACAAGCAACGGTTGTCAGTACGGCACTCGAAGCTCACTGATCAACGCAATTGTGGAATGGGCCTTATCCCGTCATCATGACAAAAAATTCATATGGCTCTATGGACCTCCAGGATTAGGCAAGAGTGCTGTTGCAGCGACTGTTGCGGATTCTATCTGCCAGAGAGGTCGCCTTGGGGCAGCGTACTTCTTCGATCGCACATCCAAGGATAGATGCGACCTTTCTGGCTGTCTGGAGTCATTAACCTATCAGCTGTCCCAATTCAGCGCTCCGTTCGGGAGGGCTGTGGCTAGGACCATGCAAGAAACCCCTGGAATCGTTCATGCATCCCTGAAGACTCGCTTCCACGAACTGCTTATGAAACCCGCGAGTGTCCTGGGCGACGTCCGTGAGCCCACGACCATAGTCATTGACGGGTTGGACGAATGCGAAGACCTGCACGCTCGGAGAGAGCTGCTCTCAATTCTCACGGACGAGCTACCGTTCATGCCTTCGTTCATCAGAGTACTCATCACCAGCAGACCGGAGTATGATATTCGCGGCCGATTCATCTCAGCTCCATATGTTCATACGGTCGAAATGGACGCCAAGGACCCGCAGAATATTTCTGACTTACGCACCTTTGTCCGTCAGCGGCTGCAGGAAGCCAGATCGGACCATCTAATATCGGGTGGTTGGCCGTCTGATGATCAAGTAGAAGCCCTGGTAGAGCGCGCATCCGGGATCTTCAAGTGGGCAGTAATGGCCATGGAGGTCGTCGCTTGCACTACCGATCCTCGTAGCACGGTGGAGCAGTTGGTTTTGGATACATACACGGATACACAGGCCCTTGTCGATTGGCATGTGTTTGGATCGCAGGACAGGTTCTGAGATTTCAAGGTGCAGTGCATTGTATATCCTCCATTCGGATCGAGCTGGTCTCGACAAGGTCTCGAGTGTATTTGTACCGCCCCATACATGCCGATTGAAGAACTTACGTCGGTTTGTTTCCGTTTCAGTTAGATCTGCGTGCTGGTCCTGTTTTTACGATGTATCTATCGTCTACACTTGGTTATACGGTTGGGTGATACACACGGTCCGGGACCACAATTACTATTGTATCTATTACAACATCAAGTGACATCCACGGACGGCTCCAGATTGCAACGTACAATATTTACAAAGTCCAAGTCCAATGGTGCTTCCAACCCAAGCCGCATGCTATGACCGGGCTTGCATAATCTCATAGTATGCCTGGTACTCCTCGGGGGTCATCATCTCTTGATGTTCCTCTGTGACCTCTGAATATCGGACAGGCTGGCCATTTACTGCAAAAATCGTGAGCAAGCAAGCAGGCAGGCAGGCAGCGTACACAGCAAACTCACCTTGCACAAGGGGGTCATCTGTAGCATCTACTTCTATTTCCGCAGCTTCTGCGGCTGCTTCCACAGGAGCAACTGCCTCAACGGTGTACGTTCCCCGGTTTCCTTCCTCATCCAGCCTTGCCGACTTCCTCATCTCCGCAGCAACATCGACCTGCTCCGGTCTGGATCGCTTTCTGTATTCGTTTAATGAATCCAAATATTCAATGGAAGGCTTCACATCCTCTTCTTCCTCGTCGGCGCCATTTACCCCGTTGCTGTAACCATATGCCGAAGGTGTACCTTGCGAAGACGCTGCGTTTGAAGCCTCAAGAGAGGCATAGTACTGATCATAGTCTACAGCAAGTATATTCAGATCTTAGCGTGAACTCGACAATAAGAGATCACACTCACAATCTGCCTCTTGCGTCTGCACTGGCTTGATGTCCTCTACTACAGGCGCGGTCGGCGTCGGATTCAACGGGGCCAACCCTCTCAAGATGGCATCGTTTGAGCTAAGGACGGTGCCTCCTGGTAGAGAGCTACTGCCATTAGGTGCTCGATTGTTCTCAGCCTCACCCAATGCAGTCAGATCGCCCGTAATTGTACTCTTGAGATGCCAAGACGGCATCAAATTCTGCTGCCGCTTGGCTGCTGCTTCAGCGTTTCTCTCCTGAATCCGCGTCTCCTCGTCTTTGTCAAGAGACATAACCACACCAATGCCAGCGTCTTCTGTCTTGGGGCCTGAGCCTGCGATCTTAAGCCCGGCTCCTGCGTCGGCATTTCGTTGTTTCTCGGCCTCGCTCAGGTTATTCCTAACCCATGCTTCAACGTCAAACCTGCGTAATTTTTTAGCGGACGTGGACCGAAGAATATTGACAGTAGGGCGTACGCAGGTAACACCATGTCCTCGGTCTTCCTCAGCCCTTCCCGAATGAAAGCCATCTGCCTGTTGAACCTCTGCATTCGATCTTGACTTCCCCTGACGCTCTCCGCATTTTCATTATCGACCAACTCCCCCTTGCAATCATCGCATATGAAAACGCCACGCGAGAAGTCGATGAGTTTGTCGACCTCCAAAGGTGTAAAGGACTTGTTGCACTGAGGGCAGATGTACCCTTTATTATCGAGTTCCTGCGCGAGCAGAGTATGTGCTAGGGAGAGGAAAGGATGGTGGAACACGCACGTTTCGAAGCGAATTATCAATAATGCGTCGCATTTCCGCTACACGCCACTTGACCACATTGCAGAAATGCTGGTAGTCGATGTAGTAGTAAGCCCTGCCCACAGACCGCTGGGCCCCCTCCTTCAGCTCATTCTGACGATGGCTGTCGATCCAAGTCGTTCAGGATTAGCTGGACGATAGCCTAGGGCAGGACATACACCCGAATCAACCGGTCATTATTGAGAACTGCCATGAGCTTGTTGAGCTCTTTCGCCTGGAGGCCCATCCTTCCTGCCAAGTCGTCATCTTTCAGACTGTGAAGCGTTCCATGGTCGACGAGTCAAACCACCGTCAGCAGACGTGCTTCTCTCTCTATAGGCATAGCAATGATGGGATTGCTCACACTGGATGTCTAGCTAGCTGATCCATTATTACAATATATTTCGGCTCGTAGAAAGAGCGAGAGACATGCTGAACAAGGAGACGAAGGGTCTCTTGTTCTTCTTTCGTGGACATTGCTTCGATCCCTGGTCTCGGATGGAAACTATCGGTCGGACTATAACGAGAGCATACAAAAGCAGATATGCTCAACCGAGCGCTGTCGCTAGTGGGTAACGGGCGTTGCTATTAGCAGCTGCCAGAGTGGTGTGTACACCAGAGTAAGGATAAGTGGTAGACTTCATTGCAGTACAACAGCGGCGCCTCGATGTAACATCAGAAAATGTGACTGGCGTGACCGCACGTGCATCACGCTGCGCGACCTGCTGGGTGCCACACCAGCTGCCACAGTTCGCCGCAGCGCATTTCTACTGTAATCACAGCAAGAAATAAACAGAAATAAGGAAACCCCTAATATTTACCCAGAAGATCACATTTATAGGTTTCTGACTGGGAAGCATTTTGCCATTCACTTACACATTGACAGGTGCCGGAGAATAAAAGAGGATATATGAGATATCTGGAGCACAGTCATGTGAATAATTTCTTACAGCGTGTCTCTTTACCTCTCGGTCACTAGTTATATGGTCCTGTGCCTTTGCCCGGCAACTTGGGGACAGAAGACGTGCATGGACTCTTTTAAGGTATACTTGGTGGACATGCTCGACCACGGTAAGGTCATGGGTCTAAAGGCTACCTAATGAGCACCCTTTGTTATTCAAAGGGAACCATTTTTTCGTGCTCTACACTACGAAGGCTCCTTGCCACACGTATACACTTGCAAATCGGTCACTCATTGCCACAAATAGTATAAGCTGCCATACCAAGTAAGATAGGAGCTACAGGGTCAGTACTTGGAGTTCTGTAATAACATAGCTCAGAGCTTACGCCAGGCTCCTAGAACCATCCGTCTCGCGTCCTCGATCCTCTCTGCTAGGGCGTGTGTGAAGATGTTATCTAATATGGCTTATATAATGTAATTTATTTATAGCTGTGTTTCCTGATTAAGCCGAACGGTGAGGATGAGGCACTGGGTACAATACCCATTTTGAGTCACTGAGAAAGTGTGAAAGGAACCGGACAAAGGTCAGATTTTGTTCATAGTGTTGCCTTGCAAAACAAATGGAAGTTCAATGAACAGTACTGAACAAAGATCGTATCCTGTGTCACAATCAGATTTTTGCGCACTCAAAAGTAGTATTATTCTAATTCATTTCACTGACTGTGCAATGGATAATCATGAAAAAAGTTTGACCTTTGACCTGTTATTGTCAAAGTTTTGTGCATGCTCAATATGGGTGATGTACGCAGTGAGGACGCTATGAGACGGCTGGCCCAACTCGTCGTCCGAGGTTTCACCGGAATTATGTAAGGTAGCTAAGCGACTAACGACGCGTTGGTTTACTGTTGGTTTATTGACGTTCGTCGACTGCCCGATTCGGATTGAGGCTTGCTCTATGTCCTCTGCTCGTCTGCACATTGACGGCGGGGGGACGGGGATAAAATCTGACGGTAATATAGCAAGCCATTTCTTAGATAGTGAAACAATAATGCACGAGTGTCCAGGGGTCTGTTGCTATATTTTCGATGAATAGATTAATTTACATACAATGCAAAGTCCAAGCACCAAGTTCTTCATTGCAGAGTAGCCTGAGACGTTATAATATTGTGTGTATAGTTAGTCTCCTTTGGCTTTAGTATGCAAAGAGAAAGAGAGAGACCAGAGCAGCTTGCCCTATCTAGACTGTTGTGGTAAATAGTCATTCATTGTTTTGTTTGTTGAATTGGGATGTTCCCAGTGCAGTTGGTGAACGTGCATGTCATCAATAATACAGATAT